GCAAAAGAAACAGATCAGCAAGAAGGGGGGCACAATTGGTGCCCATGGGGATGCCTACTTCTTACCTAAATGGCTTGTTATGTTGGATAGTGGTATACAAAGTTGAAAGTCTCAAATACCTTCTGTGAACATAAAGAAAGTCATTCATTGAATATATTAAGGATAATGGTTAATCTTCGAGACAGGGATTTGTTGGTACATTTGTTGGACCCAGCAATATATCGCTTTGTACAATTCCCCTAACAGTATTGAATGTATTCCATAAACAATGCCGACAACGGCTTGACTGTATTCGATAAAAAATGCATACAACGGTATTGAATATATTCGATATACAATGCATACAACAGTATTGCAATATTCCATAAACAACGCCTATAGTAGTATTTCATTCTAGGATCCGAGGGATAAGATTAGAGTTACCTATTTATCGATATACATTGCGTATGTATCGATATACACAATCACATTAAATCAGATCTAAGGTCTCGCTGCCGCTAAACAAAGATCTGAGGACATCCCATTACGGGTCACGTCAGAACGACCTTTCGCGAACTTTGACAAACTAAAGTACTCATGGAAATGAAAAAAACCATGTTTTCCTGAATTTAATAATAGACACAAAGCATTAAGTAGATGTAAATACGAAATAACAAAACAACTGGAAAAGTACTAGTCTGGATTTGCTAATTTTATCTCAGTGCTCAATACAAAATGTACTTTACAGGAGGTAATTTGTAGGCACTTTCAACATTCAAAAATAAAACTAAGTCCAAATTGACATTGCAGGAACAGCTTAGGCATTATGCAAATTACCCCGGAAAAAATTATCAAAACAACAATACAAACAACAGCTATGTTTATGTACATAATAATAATGACATGTAAGTTGTTGTTTGAGAAGGGAATATGTTACTTTTACGTTCTGATATTTTGACGATGATTCACTATCCCACAATGCCACTCACAAATCACTAACCACTGACAAATCACATGCACGTGGTTTTCAAGCACCTGTTTTCACCTGTCATCAAGGTGTCATAGGTCATGGACATTCACCTTGATCCACTAACACCTGGTTATGCTCAGTTTCACAATAGTCTGTTTTGTTCATATTTTTACACACTTTTACGTGTAAAAAGACATAAAAACCTTTGATACGCTGTATTTGTGCCAAGGCCCAATTAGTACTAATTGAGTTGTTTGAATATTTATATATTTTGTATATTAACTGCATTTATTTAAAATCTGAGATCGAAAAAACAGGGTTTTTTCATTTCCGTGAGTACTTTAGAAGTCGACATCAGCCAATTAGAAAGCAGCTTTCTCGAGCTTTACGGCTCTCGTTTCAACCTGCCGACTTCCATTTCAGACTACACTTGAAAAATATGTTGATACAGTTCTCGATTAAAATTTTGAAAACAGAACAAACGAACATTCTGGAATGTCTGATATATGGTTGAGATTGTATGGCAGTGCTTCCCACGTACTGTGCAACGCCTTCTCCGTTCAAATGTGTTGTTTCTTTGACTGTAAATAATCTAGACAAACCATTAACTGATATGATGTGCAACGCCAAACGCAGTCGGGGTACGGTGACGGATAATCAAATATATGACCGGCCACCCGCTCTACTCCGTCGCCTCGTACAACAAGCTTACGAAAATGATACATTCTGAAAAAAATCAGTTTGAGCAGTTAATTTTCTTTCGCAAAAAAAAGAAATGAATATTTTTTACATCTTGCTTGAACTTCAATTTTAAGACACAAAGAGGAACGTTTGTTAAAAACACGCAAAACGTTCATATTTCGTTTCGTCGCTGTCTAGAGATAAGGGTAAACTTGTCTTTAAGGAAATGATTATTAGTTTAAATCGTAATTCATAGATTAAACAAATAATAAGGACAAGTTGTCCCTGTGAAAGACCGGCGTCCTCAGATGATAACGGCAACAAACTTGATTACGAATATAGGTTATTTTTGAAACAGATATTGGTCGTCCGAAATCTAGTTTGCCTGGCAACTTCTGACTGGCCGGTGCGATAGCAAAGTATACAAACTTTCGCTCGTCACGCTGAAGAGCCGAGTTCGATCCCAACATGGACACAATATGTTATGTTAACCCTTTATCAGCTGTCCCCGCCATTGTATTGCAGGAATAAGGCTAAAATGGGCTAAATAATAGTCACTGTGCCTAACTGAATGTTTTCAAGTTTACTAAATTAACGAATACTTTTTTTTATCGGAAGCGTAAGTTTTTGTTTTAAAAAAGCTTTATAAATATGCTGCATTCTACCTCTTTTGCAAAGAGAATTTAGAGGACTCCTGTGAAAGAATTTACATGAATGAATCTATTACGCCGGACAAATATAAGTAAAGGGAAACAACCCTTTGCGCTTCACGAGCAAATTGTTTGAAGCGGACAGAAAATCTTTTCTGCAGCCATGGCTTTTTCTGAACTACGCTACCTCTCTTTCGCTGAAATGCAATGTTATTTCCCACACTAACATTGTATTAGTATGGAAGTTTTATCAGAGACACAGATAACATCCCCAAAGCACCACACCACACTCAAAGAACAACACACCACACGCCACGCCATACCACACGACTCAACACGACTCAACACTATACAACACCATTCAGCACCACACCACACCACACCACACCACACCACACCACACAACACAACACAACACACCACGTACCACACATCAGGCACCGCACACACCACTCACCACACATACCTCATTGGAGGGACAATTACAAAACACATTTACCCAAATAATACAAAGATTTAAAATCAGCATATTTTCCTTGGCATAACACTGACCGTCTCTAACAATTTAGACTATTCAAAAGTAATAACAAAGGTAAATGAGCCCTATGAAATAAATCAATTTGGACAGATGTTTACGTCTAGAGTTACTGTTCATAAAATTAAACATAAGATATTCATAACAAACAAAAACTTCACAACAAAATGAATTATTTGTAATTGCTGCTCGTGTTTCAGATAAATTCTGATGTGGTACTAAAACATCAAATTAATTAAGTTAGATAGATCCCTGGTTGTTGCTGCATATGGAATACTGTAAGAGACATTCTCGCGATCTCGACCTTTGGAAACATGCTAACTATGCCAAAAGTGCAAGAGTGAGTGAATGAGTGAGTGAGTGAGCGAGTTGGGTTCAACGCCGCTTTAAACAGTATTCCAGTTATATCGCGGCGTGTCAGCTTAATGTGGAAGGAAAGTCCGAAGTGATCCAGGTCTCAGACGTTTACCACTTCGATGAAACCCACGAGCACGGGTATGGTGCTGACAACTGGGGAACCGGGATTCGAACCCACAATCATTGGTTTCTCGCGTGCCCAAGGGACGCAACTCTGCACAGCAAATCGCAGCGCCTTAGACGAAGGGGCCACCCGTGCCCCCCGAAAAGTGCAAGAATGCAGTAGTATTGTTCCCACGACAATCCAATGCCAGTGTGGTAAATAACATTGGATTTCAATGTCAGTGTGGCGAACAACATTAAAATAGCTCTTCAGAAACCCAGCTTACCGTAAGGGGCGACTAAGCTTGTCGTAAGAGATGACTAACGGGGTCGGGTGGTTAGACTCACTAACTTGATTGATGCATGTCATCGTATCTCAATTGCGTGGATCGCTGCTCATGATAGCATTCATTGGATTGGCTGGTCCAGACTCGATTATTTACATATTTTCATATACCTGGAATATTGCTGAGTGCGGCGTTAAACAACAAACAAACAAAACAAACATTTAATTTCAGTGAAAGACAGGCCTTTGGGATGATTTTCTGTGCGCTTCAAACAATTTGTCGATGACGCCCTCAAGCGTTGCATTTCACTTAACTTGCACCGCTTGTTGAAGACCGCACACGTAGTTCTCTATTCACACATACATAAATTTAGTGCTATGGAAAATTATCTATGTAGAAAAAGATTGAAAATGTCCCATATATATGAAACTTATTTATAAAATTCTCACAAATATAATATTTGAAACAGAGTTTGCATTGCTCCAGTGGGAGATTGTTTTTGTTGTTGTTTTTACATACTAACGTTTCTTTCGTTAAATGAAATGAATCTTTGCAGTGTCCACACCGTCTTGACAGTATCCGGGGGAGAATGTGTCCCGGCCGGTATCCCGTGTCTGTCTGGCGATCCTGCTGGCCACAACGCATGTTTGGCTGTTTGTGTGTCTTCGTACCCGACAGGGTGGATAGTTGTTCATGCGATCACCCACTGGTCTGCCTGGCCCAGACTAGAACATTACCAGGCAATCGCGATATACCACGTATACTGCTGCCTGTACATGCGGCGTACAAGTACATTCACCCACTGTCAGCCAACGTGACTATCTGGCAACGCTAGACACGCCTGACTGATAGTCGGTTTCGCTTAAAAAAACGATAAACTGGACCCCCGGATACAACAGCGTGACTGACTGGTGGGGATTCAACGAGCAATTCCAACTAACGCTGATTTCGCACACTTTCGTGTTAGACTACACTCTGAACACGATCGGCCGTTTCCGTTTGCGGTTACGAAAGGGGGAGGGAAGAGACCTCCATTTGTACGAATTTCTTTCATCAATAACTGTCACCATCTCCAAAAGTGTCATGCCAATATCAAATTATAAGTTCCTTATCTCCGCTATTTATGACTGAAAAGAAACATATTTCAATTTATGGTTGGACCCGTGAAGATAAGTGTTAGAATAGATCTTGTCGTAAGAGGCGACTAACGGGATCGGGTGGTCAGGTTCGCTGACTTAGTTGATGCATGTCATCGTATCCCAATTGCGTGGATCGATGCTCATGATGTCAATCATTTGACTGTCTGTTCCAGACTCGAATATTTACAGACAGCCGTCATATACCTTGAATATTGCTGAGTGCGGTGTTAAACAACAAACAAACAACAATTTGTTGCCAATGGCCATATTCGACATATGAGAATAAAACAACAACTTGCAATCTTTATCAAATTGTTTTATTGGCACTTGCATGCTGATTTGTACACCGACATTGTTCAGAAGTGGAAACATACAATACAGACAAAACACTGTTTGTGTACAATCAATGGTCAAACATTAAAGGAAACAGTAATACTGAACAGAAATTCATGTAACTAAATAGTCGAGCAAATCCCAGGCGGGGATTCCGTGTATCATAGCAACAACTTCTGCCTCGATACACAGTCGCAAAACAATGTACATGGCATTCCAATATATAAACGCTTAAAGCTTCTCTATCATCAAACAAAGTGGCAATGATTTATGCAGAGTCCAGGGCCCAGGGCCCAATGTATAGATAGTTATCATTTGTACTTTGTTGGATACATGGATATATATATACTACACATTTACAAGGTCTGCAAGAACAATTCACTGAAGCAATCAATATACAGTACGTGAAACTAATCTCATTGCAGCTTGCGCGTTGTATGTTTTGAAACAAAGATACCTTTAGCGAAAAAGGAAAATCCTTTTCATAAGGAATAGCAAGTTTCGTCCAATCTTTTGATATTATTAAAACTTGTGATTAAATTGCTATGTAAAAAAGCCAAAGGTTTACACATATATATTCCCTTGATATATATAACAATAACCGATGCCTATATCTTCTCCAGCTTAAATCAACAGTCAGTTTCCCTGTAACATGTTTGGTAAACTATCAACATCAGTAACTATGTGCTATTATTGTGATTGGTTTCTCAAAGTAATGATTAATTTTAAACCATACGAATAAGCCATAGACAACATACTTGCAAGGCAATCGACATCACCCCTCTCCCCAATGGTCACATCGCACAGCACTTTCCCTCTCCGCGTATATCATTTACATGTTAATAGCATGTACATTTACATTAATTGCACTTAACAATAGGATTATTCTCTGAAACAACACATAATTTGCATCTGTGACTAGAATCATTAACACGCCTATAACACGATGGCAACTTCTAAAACAGCTGACTGTGAGAGTACATGGCCTTATGACAGAGAGTGTATAACATTGATTCCTGTTAGGATTTCGGGATTTCATTGTTTGAAGGTGGTATGTATTGCATTTATCATGTTGTGTGCATATGTGAGAGTAAATATGTTCCCCTGAACATTTGTTCCGGGGGAGTCAATATACCAGGAGTATAGGTTCCTGTGGAACAATATGCCAGGAGTATAGGTTCTGGGGGAGTCAATATACCAGGAGTATAGCTTCCTGTGGAACAATATGCCAAAAGTATAGATTTCTGTGGAACAATATGCCAAAAGTATAGATTTCTGTGGAACAATATGCCAAAAGTATAGGTTCCTGTGGAACAATATACCAGGAGTATAGGTTCCTGTGGAACAATATACCAGGAGTATCGATTCCTGTGGAACAATATACCAGGAGTATCGATTCCTGTGGAACAATATACCAGGAGTATCAATTCCTGTGGAACAATATACCAGGAGTATAGATTCCTGTGGAACAATATACCAGGAGTATAGGTTCCTGTGGAACAATATACCAGGAGTATAGGTTCCTGTGGAACAATATACCAGGAGTATCGATTCCTGTGGAACAATGTACCAGGAGTATCAATTCCTGTGGAACAATATACCAGGAGTATAGGTTCCTGTGGAACAATATACCAGGAGTATAGATTCCTGTGGAACAATATACCAGGAGTATCGATTCCCGTGGAGTACAGGTTCCTGTGGAATAATATACCATGATGAAGGCTCTGTTCCTTCCCCCGGCCAATTTCAAGATCGGAATATTTATACCCGAGTCTAATTCATCTCTCACACATGTCATATCAAAGGGGAGGCACGGTGGCCGAATTGGCTAATATGCCGCATCATCTGTGCAGAGTAGTCCCTGAGGCATGCCAGGAAAATATTATCATGGGTTTGAATCCCGGTTTCGCTGTGGTTGTGTTTCTAGGTTTGCATCTGCATCACCTCAGGTCCTCTGCCATAAAACTTACAAGCTCTGATATTACTGGAATACTGTTAAAGTCAACATTAAACTCTACTCACTCAATGACTATTGGATCTGTGGTAATATTCTCGTTTGCTTTCCCCGACAGAATGGGTAAACACCCACGCTTGTGGTTATAAGAACTGGGTGGTGACCATGTTTGACCTGCCTGGGTGGTGGTAGCTGCCACAAGCTAATTTGGTCTTATGTCTGGTCAAGACCCGATTATTTACAGACTGATGTGACACAGCTGGAATATTACTAACTGCGGCATTATACAACAATTGCTCACTCACTGAGTTTATATGTGCTTGTAAGTGAGTGAAGTATTTGAGTTCAATGTCCCTTGAACCAGTATTTCAATCTTAGGACATCATAGGGTTTGGTGTCGTGTTGCCAAAACAAAGATCATAATTTTAGAATTCAAATCGCAATCACATCCGAGCTAACAATTTCAGCTAGGTGAACTACGACTGGCCAAACTACAGTGCTCTATCATGGCGCCTGTGTCAGACCTAAAGTACAGACAATGTGCACAGAGGGGTTGGCTAGGTGCATCACATGATTGTGTGAGATCGGATTTTACAATGTGTTGAACATTGTTTCAGCTATATCAGAGCTACATGTTGAATGTGTGTGGAATGTGGCCCTGGTGGATTAACAGTTTGGTGACCATATGGCCATGACCAAACATTATACACAGCGAATTCCACCCAACAACTTTAGGATCATATTGCCTAGGGGACATAACTCTCCAATGAGAGAAATTTTCAGTGCAAATGCATACCTGTAAAATGAGACTCCAAAACAGTTTTTTTCTGATTATTGCATTTTGGGGAGTATATGTACTTTCTGTAAAACAATGATATCCTAGGAATTCATAATTATCTACCCTGAATCATAAGGATGCACTAAACAGTGTAGATACCCATACATACATATATACACATATACATTATTTGTCAAGCATGTAGACTTGCTAAGTGGTTCCTGTAGAATTTCAGACACAGACTTCCAAATCTGAAATGGTTAAAAGCTTTAATTTAGAATTTGGTCTAATTGTATTTTTTATATTGCTCTTGCAAAATTGAACGCAATCTTGAAAATTGTTTTGAATAACAGTCAAACATGGCCTTAGACAACAACTATTTACAATTTATCACAAATGAGACTTTTAAGCAATTTTGTCCCAGAATCATAGTCAAGTCTACATACCAAATTTCAACAGTTGATATAAGTAGCATAAATGTACAATATAATATGACATATTCTGTAATCAGCACTGTAAGCTTTTGGTGACCTGTTGAAGCAGTTTTGATTCCTTGCTCAATAGCTATCATGCAAACTTCAAGAATTAATTGCATAAAATTATGCTGCATTTATATGACATAGCAACTTCTAACATGACTGGTTTAGTATACAATATTCACAGATATTCAAATATAGAATAAATGACACAGGCATCAAAGTCATGCTGTTGAATAATTTGTGAAACTAATGTTTTTCAAAATCTCAATATCATCAGCAAATTTCACAGGCTACCTCAATGCTTAGCCAGAACCATATAAGGGGAGGTAACTCTTCTATGCTTATTCACCAAACTGCATAGAAGTGACTGGAAGAAATTACAAATTTGTGTTATTTTGAGAATGAAATAGCCATAACATTGAAGAAATGCTGTTTTTAATATTGTCAAGTGCATATATAATCATAATCACTGGTTCTTTAATAAATACTAACTCTAACGACATGGCACATAGAGATATCTATTATGCATGTTAACACAACTGATCAACAATCAGATGGCAATGACTTCTTCTGTCAGCATTGATTTCAATATGTTCAACTTCTTGGTTAAACAAGATTAAACCCAACATAATGTTTTCCAAATACATCTGATAATCATAACTTTATGTTAATTTTATACAAATACAGAAGGAAATGATACTTGGGTCATTATTTCTTTCTCTAAATCTTTTTCCAGATTTATAAAATAATTTTGATAACTAAATGTCAGTTTAAATAATAAAATAAAATAAAATAAAAAAATAAATAACATACTATCACATATTAAGCAGACAAAAGACGATATCTCGTAGAATGGCAACATTGCCATGTAGTCTTCATTAACAAGTCATATTTAACACAGCCAGGCAAATGTTCAAGTAGAATACGACCATAAGTCCTTTGATTAAAGAAAAACAGGCAAGAATTATTGTCTGAAGCTCCAGCAACTTTGGAAAATATTATCTTCAGAATTTACAGGAATCCTGAAGAATACTCCTCTCTACTCCAAATAATTCTCAACACTGACTAACAGTATCACAAGGGCAGCAGTTGTCAAAACTCGACGGGTTACTGCCGATTTTGCCCATTCTAAGCACTCATGTCGTAATTGGGTGAAGTACACCCTGTCAGGAGCTCCACGAATGAATTTGAATATTCAAAAGTACGAGACGTTCCGTATCCATAGCAACCGGGCCACTGTTCCATCATGGACGTCTGAAATGAGAAATGCGAGTTTATTGGATTGAATAGAATGAAACTTTTAATGATGACATTATCTGATCTTTATTAGATATGAATTATTGATTTAGTGTCTATAGAAAATATATTCATATACTTTTGTCATTGATTTTAACATTATCATTGGGAATTGGTTTCAAATCATATGAAATCTTTTTCGTACAATCTTATAATAAGGACATAACATGTCTTAATGTTTTATTCAAATGATATGTTTTTTATCGATAGAGATCATATTGTGTAACTGTACCTTTTAAAATAACTAAAATATAAAAAGTATGTGAAGGACATACCATTCATTGTGCAATAATATGAGCATGCATAAACAGACATACACATTTGTAGTGAAACACTTAACATTGAACTTAATTATTTCCACAGTAGCCATAATATTGATTCTATGTAGTATTCCGGCTTTCCTCCAAAATCAAGCTGACACACCATTATTTAATTGAAATGCTGTTCCAAGCAGTGTTCAAACGCACAAACTCACTCACTTAAGTATTACTGAATTAGCAGCCTAAATCCTTGAATAATTTACATGAAATAATGTGGTTTATTTCTAGTCACGAGTGGATACAACTTTTCGGAAGTTTGGGGAACATTGGGTGATTTGGCAATTCACAATCTGTAAAAATATCACTAAATGAGTCAGTCATTGTGCTGTTATATGTTTACCAAAGTATACCTGAACTTCCTTTTATGCTTCAAAATGATGGAATGAGGTGCATAGTTTAGGATGGCCGTTTTATCTACAAGGGAGGTAACTTTATTGTTAAACAATGTAACCCACTCCTGTCCTGAAAGCCCCCATCTTCACGAGCAAGGGCATTAACAGTCCGGTTTCGATTGTTGCTGAACTAGGCTGGAGTTTCCAGGCTTGATCGTAGCACCACCAGTGGCTATTACGAGTTCCACCTCTTATTTCACTTGTACATGTATTTGCTTTAAAGAAAATGGCGACACCCAGTCAAGACAATCTGATCCTTAATCAGGATCTATATTGTAATAAAACGTGTCTTACCCTGTTAAGTGCATAAACCCACTTGAGCAGACTTTGGAATTCCAGCCTAGTTATTTTATAATAAGTTTGGCAAGGGTGGGACATGGACGTTTATAATCAGTTAACGCCCTTGCCCCAGGAAGATGGAGAACCCCAGGAGGATTCAGGTAAATCACCAGTAACCTATGCTGATTGTAAGAGGTGGCAAACTTGATGATGCTTGAAGCTAAGGGTAACAATTCTGATTTTAAAAAATTTCAGAAGTTTAAAGATCAGCTAGAGTAGCTCCAAAAGAATTCCAATGCCAAATACCAAAGTTCATAAACAGCGAAATACAAAATATTATGACATTAAGCCTTATATTAGCAAAACAATACCAAAATCAAATATAATCTTCTGAAATTAAAACATTTTTGGAAGTCCTCAAAAAACTGGGCATGACTAAAAGGTTCAAGGAATGGGGAGGGTCATAAATAAAAATGACACACATTAGGGGAGGGATATGATCTTTTAGTACATTAGTGTATCAAAAGCCTCGAACCCTCCGGACACCCCTCTCCCTCCCCACCCCACCCCACCCCACCAACCAATTCATAATAATTAATGATGATGCAAGGACATGATGTAGGGTATCATGAAATCTCACAGCGACCTGAAGTACATTAACAAATCCTTCAAACCTGAAATTTGAAACCTGTCAAGGTTGACTAAACAATGAATAATATTTACGAGTATGTGAAATGTGCATGCAATTTATGCAATATGATGCACTCTCAGGTCGTTGTGACCTTGTGATCCTTCTGTCGCCCTAATTGACATAGGGACTTGGGATGGAGAGTGAGGGGAGGGGGTTGGGTGGAACAGCAGACTATAGATTTGAACTCAAGGTAACCCTCTGATGACAATGGTTTCAGCTTAGGATCAATTATTTATTTATTCCATTTCTGAGAAAATTGATTACGCAAGAAAAACTGTAAGATGCAATTTGAGGCTTGAAAATCAATTAGAGCTGAATTTGTTTGCACGGAATGAAAACTGAATTACCCGAGAGCTTTTAACTAAAAAAGTATTGATTTCATTAATATGTGTTAAGCATTGGCAGTACAGTAAATGTACGCCCTTTTTTAAACATACCGGTAATATTTTCAGTTCTTTGGAGTCTGTGTTGATAACTGTTTAAATATTCCATTTCTGTCGTAGTAAAGACAAATATTGTACAAAATATAAAAAGAATTAACTGCAAATAATATAATAGTAATAATAACAATAATGTGTACTTATATTGCGCTTAACTCTATACACAAGGTGCATGTTCAAATGCTAACATTATTACAATGGATCAATATGCACTCGATTTTCATTCTCAGCTCCCTGGCAAGTATACACAATTATCCTCCTGAAGCAGATCTTATAATTGAGTGACTGACGCCAGCTGCTGTCAGCAACACTGACCAGCCATCACCATGGCAGGCTCCACCAAGACTGGACATCACACGTTCCCCACATGCTTGGAGTGGTAATAGTCAAGCACAGTCAAGTTTGACTGAACTCATGAAACTGTGTGATTTTCCAATACCTGGAGAGTGAGTGAGTATGGTCTTACACCACTCTTAGCAACATTCCAGCAATATCATAGCAGGGGACACCTGTGAGCAATGGCTTCCACACATTGTACCACATGGGGAATTGAATTAGGGCCTTTGGTCCAGTGCACAAAACCACTGGCCTACCTCACATCCCTGAATGTCTAGAGGAAATATACCAGTGTGCAAATCCATGATCTGAGAAGAGTTTTCTTTATCAGAGAAAATCAAATTGGGTCAAAGATTTGCTTATGTTGAAATACTTAGAACAACATTGGCCAGTTTTAGCCTTACAAAAGTAACAAATATGCAAATGTTAAAAAAAGTTCTTGGTCAAATGAATATGTCTCATCATTTTCAGAACAATTTAAAATGGTTTTCATCATTTCCAAAATCATTATCATACAAGGGGTGATTGATAAGAGCTGAGCCTCACATAGTAAGATTTGACCCCAAGACATCAAAATGATGTACTTTCCAATATATTCCCCTTCCACATTAATTCACTTTTGTTTACGATGTTGGAGGGATATTATCCCAGTTGTGTAGAAGTCCTTCTCTTAGTTGTCCAAAACGTTCATATTTTGAGTCAAAATGGGTTCCAGATAGAGTTTTCTTCATATTTGGGAATGCACTGTAGATGGAAGTCTGACAGAGCCACATCAGGAGAATAATGTGGGTGCTGAAGGAGTTCAAAGACACACTTGTGGGTTGTAGCCACGACAATAACTGATTTGTGAACAGATACATTGTCCTGATGGAAGAGCACACCTTTTCTCAGCTTAACTTTAATCCTGTAATAGCCTCAAAAGTGCAGCATAATATGTTCAATTTATTGTCTGGCCTTTTGGAAGGTAGTCCACCATGATGACACCCTCGGCATCCCAGAACCTTTCCAGTTGATGGGACAGTCTTCGCATTCTTTGGTGGTGGTGATGTCAAATGCTTCCACTGTTTTGACTGTTGTTTCGACTCACGTTGAAAGTGGTGAAGCCAGGTTTATCCATAGTCATAAATCGTTGCAAGAACCTTTCTGGATTAGTTTCAAACAGAGCTAGATTATCATGAGACATATTGTGCCTGGTGCACTTGTGATCACATGTCAGAAGCTTTGGAACCCAACGAGCTGATAATTTGTTCACTGCAAAAGCTTCTGTGTTAATGGAGTGTACTCTCTCCTGGGACATGCATACTGAACTAGCAATACTATGCCCAGTCATCAGCCTGTCAGACAACACCATATCATGGATTCTCTGGATCCTTTTCAGTGTTGCTGACGTGAGGTCTTCCAGGATAGGTGTCGTCTTCAAGGCTTATACTCTGCTGCCCACCTCTTTATGGTGGCATACGAATGGGCATCCTTCCATAGTGTCGTACTATGGTACCGTTTTGATGTTGATCCCTTTTTCTGCAAGTACGTGATCATTGTACGTTCCTCAAGTTTGCTCATTCTCCAAAGGTCACAGACTCCTGCTTATTTTACTGACTTGTCACATCAAAACAATTTGCTCAGTTGACTCATCTTTTTGTGGATATACCTCCATGACATCATGTCCACAACAACATATTTCACTACTTCAAATCCGTAGTCCATTCAGTGATAAATGTACTTCCAAACTCTTAGACTTGTCTTTCAAAAATGCCATGTTTCAAACAAGCTATGTTTCAAATAAGGTTTTACTTCATCCTACCAACCATACATGTAGAGTGAGTGAGGGAGTTAGGTCTATCATCACTTTGAACAGTATTTCAGTTACATCACAGCCTGGTAGAGTGATTGAGGAAAGCCCAAAGTGATGCAGGTCTTAGACATTGACCCTCAAACATGGGTATGGTGCTCACAAACCAAGTGAAAGTGGGATGTGAGCCTGACATCAACAATTTGAGGCACCTTTAAAGCCTGGGCTACCAATAGCCCTGTCCCATCCCTCATACATTTAGAAAATCACATTTACAAAATAAAATGTTGGTTATCTTATTTTTACATTTATTTCATTATATATTTGATATTTGTTTGAACAAAACCAATCAGCTTTGGAACAAACAGAACCTTAACCAAGTAATGCTCCAGGGTCTCCCATGTAAAATTGGTATCCATCATAGCAGTATGTTATTTTTCCAATTAGGTTGCACTAGGCACATGCAGATGAATCATGGCAAACTTGGTGTCATGCATACGTGGACAATGGCTGCATCAACCTGTTGTCACTTGGGGCTGACTATTTCACGACAGCTTGGCTGCCTTCACAACATACGCTTTGTTCACATACAGGGAGCTCGTGAGCACACTGACATTTAAAGGAATGTCGGCATCCCTGTGTGTAAACCGTACATCCTGACTTGAAAGAAATAGTTTTCCATCATTAAAAAGGTTTGATAATATTCTAATTAATATGATATGTATTATTTATCTGGAGATGCTTTTTTTTCACAGGAGTGGGGGGGACTGTTTAAATATTGGCACAGAGTTTGGTATGTCAATATGATCACGACGAATAGCTGCAATATTGTTGAGGCCTCATGAACATTTTAAGCATCACTCACTCGGTAACTCACTCACACACTGTTGACTTGGTTACCTCTTGAAATGAAATGGGGAAAGGTGATGGGGAGGGGGAGAGGGGAGGGTAGAGAGGTTGTGTAATCTTTCATACTTAATTTTTAATGTTATGTCTCATAACCTGTACAAGCTTATATTCCATGTAATTGAAAAGCAAAGACTCCTCTCATCTGTATGAGTGACTCAATATTCAATGAGAATGATATTTTCCAGATACATGCAAGAAGCTTAATATTGACAAAAATTGTATATGTACTTGTTTTTTCATTAAATCAATTAATTTATTAGAACAATATAGTACAATAAAATGTATGATTAACAATCATCCTGTCTGTTTTTTAAGATTTGTATTATGTCCGATCTTTAACCTTGAAAGTATCGTCCATATACGTGGCATGAAGCACAATAAAGATTCATCTTTCTACAGCTCCAGTAAATCTGTACTTCGTGTTCAATGAACTTTATCGATATCTCCCAGGCAAGTCATAAAATATCATTGATATTTTCAAGCTAATGGTAAATCAAATCTACTTTTTTCTAGTAATGAAGTTAGACGCCCGTGCAACCTAATGTCTTATTACCAGGAAGTTTATTGAATCACCATGGCAACCAAAATGACAGCCATTACTTCCAGAACAGTAAAGAATGTCTTGGATCTGTAAAGGTGTTTTCGATTCAGGTTTGTAGTTTAGTTTTCCTTACTTCTTTGAGTGGCATTTAGAAGTTGGTGTGATGACGTTTCGGTGTAGATCCTAACACCTTTATCAAGCAAGTGATGATAAAGGTGTTAGGATCTACACTGAAACGTCGCACTAATTGTAATAAAGAAGTTGTTCATCCATAGAACTCGTCTTACTTTAGTTTTCCTTAATTTTGGCATTTTGATTGATAAGAAATCTACCTTGAGCTCGGGAAAAGCCTCTCTCGCGCTTTACATTTTCAACCAACACCTCAGTCGTGTTTTATTCTGAACTTTATACTAAAGGGTTCTTTTATAGAATAAGTTTTATTTGACCATAACTTTATTTCGGGGACTCTATGTTATAGTAAAGACAAGATATTTATGGAAGATAACTTCTTTATTCTTTTATGTGATAATGGTCTAAATTGCCAGGTCTCCATGTAGATGGTGTATTAACTATTGATTGACATTTTTAGAAGTAGGTAAGTAATAGTAAAGACAATCTCATTCAAATCAGACCTAAGTTCTCGCTGCCGCTAAACAAAGATCTGAAAACATCCCATTACGGGTCACGTCGGAAAGACCTTTCACGAACTGTGACCGACCAACTTAGGTCCGATTTTAATGAGATTGTAGTAAAGACAACATATTTTTTACTCAACTTCTTTACTCTATTATTCTAACTATATGTTAGTCAAACAATCAGTCAGGTCTCGTATTGTTACCAACTCATCTCTATTTTAGTTAGAGCAGTGACAAGCATTTTTCGAGCTTGGGACCTGTTCTGCTAGGAAGTCACAACAGTGTTTGCTGCAAAGTTACTAAATGGATATAATCAATGAAATGTTACATCTTCATCCCGTCTGCCTCCACCAAACACCCACATAGCATCATTTTATTGTCTCCAAGGGCAGAGATATGAAAATAAGCTATGTTTGTTCCCTTGTTTCTTCATCTTCCATATTTGACCAATTGACCACAAACATAGTCCTACCACATTAGTGAATCACATCTGTTGTCAGTGTGTACTGATCTACTGGCTCTAGCCCTTTAGTCACCTAATATGATCAAGCACAGGATGCTGGGATGTTTATTCTAACCAATACAATCCCCACAGGGAGACAAGCATAGGTTGCTGGGGACCTATATCTTACCCAGAATCCCCACAGGGAGACAAGCATAGGTTGCTGGGGACTTATATCTTACCCAGAATCCCCACAGAGAGACAAGCATAGGTTGCTGGGGACCTATATCTTACCCAGAATCCCCACTGGGAGCCAAGCATAGGTTGCTGGGGACCTATATCTTACCCAGAATCCCCACAGAGAGACAAGCATGGGTTGCTGGGGACCTATATCTTACCCAGAATCCCCACTGGGAGACAAGCATAGGTTGCTGGGGACCTATATCTTACCCAGAATCCCCACTGGGAGCCAAGCATAGGTTGCTGGGGACCTATATCTTACCCAGAATCCCCACTGGGTGCCAAGCATAGGTTGCTGGGGACCTATATCTTACCCAGAATCCCCACTGGGAGCCAAGCATAGGTTGCTGGGGACCTATATCTAACCCAGATTCCCCACAGAGAGACAAGCATGGGTTGCTGGGGACCTATATCTTACCCAGAATCCCCACTGGGAGCCAAGCATAGGTTGCTGGGGACCTATATCTTACCCAGAATCCCCACTGGGAGACAAGCATAGGTTGCTGAGGACCTATATCTTACCCAGAATCCCCACTGGGAGCCAAGCATAGGTTGCAGGGGAACTATATCTTACCCAGAATCCCCACGAGATACAAGCATAGGTTGCTGGGGACCTATATCCTACCAGAATCCCCATGGGGAGACAAGCATAGGTTGCTGGGGACCTATATCTTACCCAGAATCCCCACTGGGAGCCAAGCATAGGTTGCTGGGGACCTATATCTTACCCAGAATCCCCACTGGGAGCCAAGCATAGGTTGCTGGGGACCTATATCTTACCCAGAATCCCCACTGGGAGACAAGCATAGGTTGCTGAGGACCTATATCTTACCCAGAATCCCCACTGGGAGCCAAGCATAGGTTGCAGGGGAACTATATCTTACCCAGAATCCCCACGAGAGACAAGCATAGGTTGCTGGGGACCTATATCCTACCAGAATCCCCATGGGGAGACAAGCATAGGTTGCTGGGGACCTATATCCTACCAGAATCCTCACAGGGAGACAAGCATAGGTTGCTGGGGACCTATATCTTACCAGAAGTCCCACAGGGAGACCAGCATAGGTTGCTGGGGACCTATATCCTACCAGATTCCCCACAGGGAAACAAGCATAGGTTGCTGGGGACCTATATCCTACCAGAATCCCCATGGGGAGACAAGCATAGGTTGCTAGGGACCTATATCCTACCAGAATCCCCATGGTGAGACAAGCATAGGTTGCTGGGGACCTATATCCTTACAAAGAATCCCCATTGGTCAAATTGTGAAGCACTAATGAAATGTGAAATTGACACCCACAATCGTGCACAAAATCATGCCAGGTGACAATACATAAACTGAACCATGAAACACCAGATATGTGAAAGATACAACAAGTCTACTGCAATATGCATGGCAAGACTAAAGATAAAACAGGTCCACTGCAATATGCATGGCAAGACTAAAGATACAACAGATACACTGCAACATGTATGGCAGGACACAGCAATATGCACAGCAAATGAGCTGGTGAGGATGAGGATATATATTTGGGTCAAGCAGAAACTGACATGAACACCTTTCATTGGATGAAATAAATCGGAGCATCTGTCAATCAATCATGTGCCTGACATCCATTAAACAAATCAAAATCTGAAAATATTCTGTCACAAGAGAATGTAAACAAAAGTTCATTGCACACAAATTGTACATAATTCTGAATTAGTCTTGCCACAGAGTAGTTAAAATAGAATCAATTATTATCACCTTCATGAACTTTATGCTATACTACAATATTTTGAAAATGAGTGAAAGAAACTTTCACTATCTCATGATAAATGAACAATTAAAGCAGAGAAACAGCACCTTGACAGAACACTTTTAACACACAGGATTAGAAAAGTCTAAGTAAAAACACATGTTACAGATCAAATCAGAACTGGCAACCTGTACCTAAAGAATCACAATACCAAATTGAATCGACTAACAACTTGTCTTTCAACATGAATAGACCTCGAATTATCTTCCATTCCTTATCTATCAATATCAAGTATCAATGCCATACCAAGTTTAATCAATACAATTGGATATCCTTGATCGTTGTCCAAAGAGGTGCTAATATCAGTTTCGAAGCCAAAAAGCAAAGCATACCTTACAGTGGGGTTTCTTTCTTGAGGGACAGTCCGTTGGGCCGTTGAGGACCTTTCCTACTGGATCCTGAAGGGATGCTTGAAAAGCCATTGGCATGTATAGGACTCACTGGTTCCTTGGTATCACTGGACAGCTTGTTGTAGGTCGACTGACCATGTCCATTTACTCCAGGGCTCTTCAGAATCTCTTGACCAGTCACTGCAGCTGGGCTTTTGGTGATATTTGGATTGGTAACAATTCCGTTCCGTTTCCGTCTCATTTCTGGTGAGCGCATGTGTAGAGCACTCTGTCCCATCACCATCTTGGTTGGAGAGTCTGGAACAATTCCCCGCTGTTGGAGCAGGTTCCGTTTCATGTTCTGGAAGTGTGCTGGATTGAGCTGCCAAACTGGCTCATCACAACTGTTCATGATCTCAGCATTAGGGTTAGTAATGATGTTGATAGTGGCAGAGATTTTCTCCTGTTTCAAGCTTGCACTTTTCACAGGAGAGGGGTTGAGAATGTTAATATTATGTTCCAGGGATGGAGAGACAGGTCCTCCAGAAGTCGGGAATTTAGGGGTTTCTCCAACGGGAGATGTAGGTGGGGATTGCACTGGGGATTGAGGCTCACTCACAGGGGAAAGAACTCGAGAGATTGGGCGAGAACGGTTCTTGCCCATAGAGCACTGTTGAAGCTGTTGAGTGAAGGTCAAACACTCACCATCCGCCTTTGTGACATTCCCGCTCTGTGAGCTCTGATTGGTGGAAGATGTAAGGTTGCTGGAGGATTTCGACGAGTTGTTGGAGTGGTATGATTTTCTCCGGTCAAATGTTGACTCTGGTGAGTCAGATGGTGAGCTGTGGATAGGATGAGGGTGCCCCGCAATAGCACCCCCTTTGGGAGGATTTGTCGTGAGTGGTCGCGTCTCATTACTGGAAGTGGAAGAGGAGCTCCGGCTCTTCGTACCATTCACTGGCATTGCACCAAAGTCTTCAAGAATCTTACACACAGATGTATGTCCACTCTTCATAGCCACACGAATAGGAGTCCGACCAAACTGATCAGCATGGTTAGGATTTGCATGATACTTCAACAACACTCGCACAACTTCCTCATGACCCTCCTGGGCCGCGATACACAAAGCTGTAGCTCCCTGGTTGCAAGTGTGGTCCACATGTGCTCCCTTCTCCAGTAGCAGACGGACCACCTTCTCATGACCTTGCCATGCCGCTGACTGCAGGGACGTCCTCTGATCATTGTCCACTGCATTCACATCAGCTTCATGCATTATCAGCAGCTCGGCCATCTCGAAATGACCCTGCCATGCAGCAACATGGAGGGCTGTTCTGCCTTCAAGATCGACGCTCTCAACATCTGCACCGACCTCTAGAAGGTACTGGGCCATGTTGAACTGATTCTCCAAGGCAAGGACATACAGCGTTGATCTGCCATCAGCATCTTTGTAGTTGATGTTGCCACCTTCCGTCACCAGAATCTCCAGGACATCACGATGACCTTCAAGGGCTGCAACTCGGAGAGCTGTCTTGCCGTCGTGTGATCGGTGGTCGATGTGTGCATGGTGTTCCAGGAGACAGGCAACAACTGGAGCGTGACCTTCCTGAGCTGCATGGATGAGTGGAGTTCGTCCATCATTGTCAATCTCATTTATCTTGGCACCTTGTTCAATGATGATCTGACAAACCTGGAACATAGAACAATGAACTTAGTATGGAGGAAAGCGTAAATCAGTAAAATCGACTGAAAGGAGTATGTTTGTCTGTGTGGTTTTTAGCCACTCAGCAATATTCCAGCTATATGACAGTGAACCTTAAAGAACTGAGTCAGGACCACACAATCCAGTGATTGCAATTATGAACAACAATCCTTTACATGAAAACAACAAACCCTTCACATGATCATAAGATGTCACACAATGAACCAAGTGGCTGACCCTGCCCATTCAGTTGCCTCTTACGGCCAAGGCAACGGCCAACACAAGTTACTGGGGACCTATTCTAACCCATATTCCCACAGGGAAGAGACAGGTCTGATTCATCATGGCAGAATAAGGTGCCATGTTTTGTAATTCTCTAGTGATATTTTGTTACAAGCCTATGATTAAACAATTTCAAATCAAGTGTTTTTGTGACTCCATTGTTGTCACATGTGCAATTCTCACATGTTTCACAAAATTTCTTCATCTATGAAGTGTCTCACATCCTCACACTCCTATCACCAGAATAACATTTAGTCCCAGAAAAAAGTTCTTTCATTTAAAAATATACATCCACAAAATAGAAAGTAAATTTCCGATGGAGCCCAGAACAATGCTTAATTTCGGACCTGCCAACTTATTTTAGACTTGAGTTGGATTCCTATTTTAGTATTTCCTCTAGGGTTTGGGAGACTGACTAACCTATCACCAGCATTCTCAAATAAAATAGGTCACTGATATTCTGATATACCAAAACTGTTTTTCATCATGACAGAATATATCATGTGTGTATCGTCTCAGTTCATCATTGTGTTAGCTTCTAGGGAGATTTCCCACAAGCATTCATGTTTAAATTGAACAATGGGCATTCTGCATTGGGCCATATGCAGGCAGGAGAGAAGCAGAGAGAAAACTAGCAACAGTTATATAGATACCTACATCATCATCAGTATGGAACAGATATTGCTTAGTAAGTCAGGTTAAGGGGTGGTAGGGTAGTCCAGTGGCTAAAATGTTCGCTCATTACACCGAAAGCCCAGGTTTAATTCCCCTACTATGTGTGAAGCCAGTTTCTAGAGTACCCTGCATAGCTATCGTTGGAATATTGCTGAAATATTGCTAAAAGCGGTGTTAAACATTCTCTCACTCACTCACTCACCCACTCTCTCACTCACTCACTCACTCATGCACTCACTCACACACTCCAGGTTGACTAGTACTTCTTAGAAAAAAAATTATTCTTTGCATTTTTATACTGAGAGACTGATAATAGTTCCATAACTGTTTGCAAAATCTGGCCTCTGGTGGTCTAGCTTTACAAACAAACAAACATTTCTTTAAAGTTCAGGTTTGTGGTATTAAAACATACACTCCACTCATCGAATGCTCTCCTCATGTTGCTCCACACAGATGAAAACCAGACGAAAAAATGAACTAACGTGATAAAACGCATGACCATATTCTTTAAATTTTTTAAAAGTGCAGATATGTCTTTATATCTCCAGGTTTCTTTGTCAATACACAGCTGCATGATTTCACTTGAGTCACAGCTCCTGGAAATAAGGAACAGCTGAGAAACAGGACACCCCCTGACAATAGACCTGCTGCTATCTCTCCATGAAACATGCAAGATACATGCTGAAATGCACACATGTTCATTTCACATAAACTGCTGACTCAACACATTTGTATTTCTAAGTACATGGGCATTACATAATTGTAAAGAAACATGATACCCCTTCAGGACTGGGTCTTACACATTGGTGAACAAACACTATTGATCTGAGAAGGTACAGACCAGGATTACAGTTGTTATTTTGCTAAGACTGGTTATATTACAATGTTTTTGCATTACCTAAGTCCTGGGTCATGCCTACAAGCCATGTGGTAAGTTCATTGCCTTCTAGAGATTATCTGAACAGTCCTAAAATGGTTTGTCCTTGACTTTCTCAATAAAACTCTCTTTAAAACTTTCTACTTTTTCAGTCACCTGTTCAATAAGCTTTAGAATCACAACATATGAATGTCATAATCACTTCTTCAGATCTCTGGTTTGTATTTCTACACAGGTGAGATCAATTATTTTCTTGTTTTGTTGATAAGTCAATCCTATATAAATACATAAGATGTTATCTTTGATTCAAACTATGCTTATCATATTGATTTGTCATTGTTTTTGTTTTCTGCACTTTTTCAATGAAAAAAATGTACTTTCAATTTTTTTGTTATAATTCCTGACTGCATGTGGACTAAGGAACCAAAATGAGCAGGCCTATTTTAGGCCAGCAATGATTAATTATCATCCCTGCCCTCCTCATTCCCAGAAACCCCTCTTCACAAAACCATTGTCCCATAGTTACTACCAGGAGATGGAGAAAATCACTGTGTGTGTTCTCCAATGTACTTGATGACATACATTGTCTATTACATACTATTCCTAGTCCAACAGTCTGTCCCAGTCCTGGAACCATATTATTTTACCTTCTGCCCAGCCCTAAAATCAACCAGCCCTAAATGAAACAAGTGTAGATTTAGACTGGCTGGGGCTCCTTTACAATTTAAATATAGTTGCTTGTTTCTATCAAAACTATATTTTTTCAGAGACTCACAGTTTTCCAAGGGAAAAATAGAGTGACATACTGGAATAATGTGTAATAAATCATTCTCAGATTTGACAAAATACTACTGCTCTCAGTCCCCTCTACAACACACCTGGAACCAACCATACAGCTGACAAGTGAACCACAAGAACATCAATTCCCACGTTCCGTCTCCACTGACACTACAAACATTCCTGCCTCCTGGAGCAGAGCATCTTCCTGATCTAACACCCTTCCATCAGCTCCGGGAGTAAACAAGCAAATGTCAGAATGTCCCTGGCACAATGTGCTTCACAGGAGAATGCATGGTAAGATAGTTATTTATCTATTCTTGTATGGTTAATCATGCTTCCAATATGGCCTTGGTTCTAAGATCAGACAAGAAAGAAGTCAAAGACTTCATCTGACAAATTATTTAGTGTATCTAAAGTGAAGCAAAACATTTTTTCTTTTTCATCCAGATTATTTTGCATTTTGTTCAGCCCTCAGGGAAGTCATATTTACAGTCACAGAACATGAATAAGAGTGGATCAGTTCCATTCTAGTTCTGTCGCTTACATTAAATAGATCACAGGAAACAAAGCCTTTGATAACAGGATGTGGATTATATACACTTTACACAATCATGTTTCAATGTATTAACATGATAAATACATGAAATATACACTCAAGTGTTTGAACACTGTGAGTGTTGGCCTTTGGCCTAAAGTCCATGTCATTCATGGCCATTGTCATCAATGATTTGCACGAAATCATTAAAGGATGGCTAATTCTTCAAAAGAAAACTTCACTGCTTACAATTAACGAAAGTTGAGCCAACTCACTGGTCAAGTGCATTGAGCATCGGCCCCATAGGTAATAGTTCGATCCCATGGCCACGCCTTACCAAAAGACATTTAAAGATGCTACTTGTTGTTACCCTGTCTGGAGACAAAACAAGTACAGGTCAGCTTGGAGTTAATATACCCTGTAATGTGTCTGGGAAGGGTAAATCTCGAACTGTGGCATGGTAATTTAGTGGGCTAGCACTATTAAATTGGCATAAGTCTGGACTAGTACAAGCAGCCACTCACACACATGCATGCATGTCGCTATACATGTACAAGTGCAATAATCTTGAACGTGCTATGTTAAACCCATTCCATGTCAACTAATGAAAGCTAGTTTCAGGTGACATCCGTTAAGTTTAGACAAGTCAAGTCTTTATTCGTATGACATTATAAGTATCCAAGGAAGGGAATTGAGCAAGTGACTCTGCTTAAATACAGATCATTATAAAAAACATGTGTCATTTCAAACTTGAATGGCATCAATTCCATAAGTCTGGATATTGAACTGTCTTACAAAACATATTTTATATTCAATGTTTTTTAATCTCTTAATAAAAGTAAAAGAATCAAATTGTTTTTTGAAGCCTCATATCAATACAATACTGTGGTGTCATATCATTACAAGAGTAATAAACAGGCTTGTAAAACCTAACCTATTTATAAAACAACACTAACATTACCAGAGACAATTTAGGACATCAGAATCCAACAATCATCCCTTTCACAGCAAGATTCAACATAACCTTCAACTGTCTAGTATTTCTACAACTATATCCAATGCAGGTTGATGTCAACATATTTTATTCATGTGAAGTGAAAAGGATTGGGTACAATTTCTTACAGATTGGAATGCGCACTCCTATGTATCACAAGTATGTCTCGGAGACGATAAGATGAGTCTCTAAGATTAGAACACAATAACAGTAAGCATTTTTGGTTAAACAAATTGTTGACCTTCCTGATGAATTTTTGGATGCGGAAAATATGTAAATTAATTGCAGGACAAAGATCTGTATTACTGTATAGAATTTGTGGTTAATTGATTTCAAACATGCCACTAACATATGTGACAAGAATCTCCTGTTTTCTTCATTAAAAAAGAACACATGAAAGAAGTTTTCAGGTGAGCCACACTGATGGAGTCTCCATCATTCGAACCCAACTGTTGCGATGCTGGTTATTAAAGGCGACATAATGGATTGGTTGGTCAGGCTCGGTGACTTGGTTGATTGCGTACATGTCATTGTACCCCAATAGCTAGGATCGCTGCTCATTAAATCAATCACTGGACTGGCTGGTCCATACTCGAATATTTACAGGTTGTCATCATTCAGCTGTAATATTGCTGCGTGTGGCTTCAATCAATCAATCAATATATCAGAATGTTCTTTATATGTTCAAGCTCTGCCTTGAATTAAAAACACCATAGAATTTATTTTTTTATCTTTGCTTTAAAATTAGTGATGGAACATAATATATTGTTACACACTGATTTTTAAGTTGTTGAGGCCAGTCACTGTACAGTGGTAAGAAATACTATCTGCAAAACTATTATGATGTCAGTGTGACATGGCCTTAGGTCTGATCACTGTACATGACTGATGCTGTGTTAATATTGACAAGGCAGTATGTACATAAGTAGCATGCATTGAGGCTGTACTGATACACTTCATTGGGATATGTCTCGGTAGTAGGATGTTGTGAAAAACTACACAATGATGCATGAAAACTTGACACTTGTCATTTAAAGGAACCATATTCCATCACAATGGGAATGACTTGAGATCCATAAACAGGTGAGGTTAGGTGAAATGGGGTTTAACGTCGCGTTCAAGATTATTGCACTTATAGTGACATGCATACATGTGTGTGTGTGGCTGCTTGTACTAGTCTCGACTAATGCTGATTTTATTATGCTAGCCCACTCAGAGATACCATGCCGCAGTTTAACATGAATACCCCAACATGACACAGTATACTGACTCTGACCAGGTTTTGTTTTAGCCCCTTAATGCCAAGCGCCAGGCAGGTTAATAACAAGTACCATCGAACCATTTTCTTTTGGTATGATGCGGCTGCTGATGAAACCCTGGACCTTTCTCTCTCCGGGCAGATGCTCTACCACTGGACCACGGAGATGGTCACAATGGGAATGACTTGAGATTAAAAAAGCAGCAAATCCTATTTATCTAACTTGCTGCAGTAATGTTATACTGTCATGAATCATTTGCAGATCCCACCCATTAAGATTTGGTTGGAATAGGTCTTCAGCAACCCATGGTTGCCGTAAAAGGCGGCTATGCTTGTCATAAGAAGCGACTAACAGGATCAGGTGATAGAGGCTGATGCATGTCATCCTATCCCAATTGCGTAGATCGATGCTCATGATGTCAATCACTGGAGTGTCAGGTCCAGATTCGAGTATTTACAAATCATCATCATATAGCTGGAATATAGCTGAGTGCGTCATTAAACAACAGTCAATCAATCTTGTATTGATACATGACCTGACCATGATCATTCATTCCATCAAGTTTCACAATACATCCCTGAATGATGATCACAGCCTACTGTATACGACATGGTACATTTATGACTTAATTTCAAAACTCCTACTTTGTCACAGGAATGCTCTGAAACACATCAACAAACCACTAAAACATAGCAATTAACAAATCAATGAGGCTGGAGTCCATTACATCATCAGATGAATGGTTTTTTTCCAAACTACCATTTCATGCTGTTGATTTCAGCTCAGCCAAATCAATTACTTGATTAAAGTCAATTATTAAAAAGACACTGCAAACATAACATGAAGTAAGTTTAGTCGAGTCAACATCTGAACGTGATCTAGTGGTTGCTACGAAATGTATGCATGTCAATATCACTATGACGGCTGCAACAGTCAGGATAGTGACATGCACACGACCTCATCAATGGCAGATGAAATGTATGCATGTCAATATCACTATGACGGCTGCAACAGTCAGGATAGTGACATGCACACGACCTCATCAATGGCAGATGAAATGTATGCATGTCAATATCACTATGACGGCTGCAACAGTCAGGATAGTGACATGCACACAACCTCATCAATGGCAGAATGATGAATTGAAGGTTATGAATTGTATTTTTGTGGTCCTAAGATGCTGTAGTTTTAAAATATAATAAGAAGTCAAAATGTGATTTGTCACCCCCGTAGAGTCCCTTTTCTCATGTTTGGTAAAACAAATTGAACTGTTTTCAGAAAAAAAACAAGCGGGGATATAGATTGATTAATGCTCAGTAAGGACTGGGTCATATATGACAAATATTATGTCCGATGCAATATGTGAACAATTGCTTTGCCTTTGCAACTGTTTGTGATGAGCCACCAGTGGGGTAGGATACACTAACTTTTTTCAAAAACACTGGGTATCATCAATATTTGATAGTGAGTCATAAACACTTGCTCATGAAATGCATGCAGTTGGAACTGTAAAATGGACCTATAACATAATCCTCATGATTATTGAAATGTCTTGTTGTTTTCATTCATATGTAATAAGGGCCCAATGTATGATGACATGGCAAATATTAGTTGCTCACAAGTTGTCTGAAGATGTCGTCCTTGTGTAAAGTTTCCCTTTGACCAAGTGGACACATCTTACTTTGTTTAGTCTGCTTACATGTGATCATTATTCGGCAAATATCTCGGCAAAACGACACCAGTGGGGATACCGCCTTTGGTCCCAGCAACCTGGGAGGTGCCTCAATGGATTGGGTGGTCAGAGTCGTTAATTTTGTTGTCATCATACCCAATGTATGATGTAGCCCAATAAGATCACAACATGACTGGTTTGTTTGGTCAAGCCTCGATTACTTACGGCAGTCGTCATACAACTTGAATATTGCGTTCAACAACAGATGACAGACAAACCAACAAAAATGAGTCACATAGATGATTATACACTCTGATTGACGAGAAACATCATATATATAGTCAGCAGATGCAAGGATTTGAATACATATTCTGGCCTCTGGTTTGGATCATTACAAGAAGAAAATGGTAGCTGACAGAAATAGATGTGATGTAGAACAGAATTTGCTTTATGTGAGTGTGATTAGGTGAAACCAAGGCCATGAGTTACGGTAACCTCAGGCCTGGGTTATTTAACCAGATGATCTGTTATTATTGTTCCTATTCATCAATCATTATCATCTTTGATAATTAGAATCGGTCTTCAGCAACCCATGCTTGCCATAAAAGGCAACTATGCTTGTCATAAGAGGCGACTAATGGGATCGGGTGGTCAGGCTCGCTGACTTGGCTGATGCATGTCATCGTGTCCCAATTGCGTGGATCGATGCTCATGATGTCAATCACTGGATTGTCTGGTCCAGACTCGATTATTTTACAGACCACCATCATATAGCTGGAATATTGCTGAGTGCGGCTTTAAAGAACAAACAAAAAAGAATCAGGATAAAAATCG